AGAACTGTATAAAATCAACAGAAAACTTACTCAAAGTCTGGGCACAGAGAGCCCCGAGCTATCATCTGTGGTTACATTTATCTTCTTGGGCGGGGGCCGCCCCGTACAAAGTTTGGGCTTTACATGCATCCTACTATTGGCCTTTGGCGTGAGCAGGCCAACCCCTGCTCACGCCAGCTTACTGAAATGTGCTAGAAACCAGGTGTGTGAGTGATGTGATAGCAGGTGGTATCTAACAATGAATGCTGGACAACTGCAACTGCAGACATCCTGTCTATGTAGGCTATTCAATGCAAGGTGAAATGTAAGGTAGATAAATAATACACAAAGTGTAAAGGCAATTAAAAACAGCAGGAGGAATCAAATGTAATAAAAATATAAAGAATAGAATAAGTAGATAAATAGTACACAAAATCTAAATGCGCTTAGAACAGCAAGTGGAGGCAAATTATGTTACATCGAAGCTGGATGTGCAATAGGCGGCAGTGACTGTACAGTTATGCATGGGCAGATGTGCATGTGCAAATATGGAATGTAAACAGTACAGGTGGAATTACATGAAGTAATTCCTGATTATAAACTCCTTCAGCTGTTTAGGAGTCTAATGGCAGTTGGAAAGAAAGAGTTTTTCAGTCTAGAAGACCTGCATTTCATACTTCTGACCCTCCGGCCTGAGGGTAGAGGTGTGAACAGCCCATGCTGGGGGTGGGTGGGGTCCTTGAGGATGGAGGCGGCTTTTCTTCAAACTCTGTGGTGGTAGATGCTCTGCAGAGAGTGCAGTGGAGTCTTGGTGATCTTCTCTGCAGTCTTTATCACTCTCTGCAGGCACTTGCAGTCCACAGCAGTAGTGCTGCCTTACCAGACAGTGATGCAGCTGGTCAAGATGCTCTCAATGATGCAGCTGTAGAAGTTGCTGAGGATCCTAGGCGACATGCCAAACCTCCTCAGCCTCCTCAGGAAGTACAGCCGCCGTTGGGCCTTCTTGACCAGCTGTGTGGTGTTAAGTGTCCAAATGAGGTCCTCACTGATGTCGACGCCCAGGTATTTGAAGCTGCTCACCCTCTCCACTTTGAACCCCCAGATGAACATTCCTCTCCTTCCTCATGTTCACTATCATCTCCTTTGTCTTGTCCGTGTTGAGGCTGATATTATTGTCCTTGCACCATGACACCAGACCAGCCACCTCCATCCTGTAGGCTGCTTCGTCCCTGCCAGTGACACGACCTATTACTGCGTTGTTGTCTGCGAACTTTAGGATGATGTTGTCTTTGTGGGAGGCGACACAGTCGTGGGTGAACAGGGTGTAGAGCAGGGGTGGCCAATACGTCGATCGCGATTGACTGGTAGATCACGTGCCATTGAAAAATAAATTAAATGTAGCCGGCGTAAAACAAGCAGGTCAGGCAGGGATAGTTGAGAAACAAGCAGGACAGTGGCCCTTGAGGACTGGAATTGGCCATTTTATTTCAAACAGAAATTAGCAGTGGTGGAAAGATAGGCTACAAGCTGTGAAACTACTAGGTAGGCTATCCACCCATCCATCTGTATATACTGTATACCTGCACTGTGGGAGGAAGCCAGAGTACCCAGAGAGAACCCACGCAAGCATGGGGAGAACATGCAAACTCCGGGTCAGCCAGGGCTGAAACCCAGAACCTACTCACTGTAAGGCAACAGCGCTAACCACCGCGCCACCCTTTTTGAAGGTAGCCCACTTGTTGAACAACAACATTCATTAACATTGAAGTGTTTCCATTTTCAGCTACTTGACTGTAACGTAACTAGGTACATTTCAGAGTATAATGAAATACAAAACCTTTTTAACTGATAAATTGTAATATATTATGCTAAAGAGTATATAAACTAGTTGACATTAGCCTTCCATTACCATATTACCAGCTGTAAATTTAGTGTTGCTTATACAGTGATGAATCAGTAATGTACATAAATCTGAAATAGGCCATTCTGCATAATGAGTACTTTTATTTTTGGTAGCTGTTTGAAATGAACTTTAAAGAATAAAAATAAATTCATACTGTATCAAAACAGTAGAAAAAAACACTGGCCTAGTCTATACATAGGTTAAACCAGTAACCATACTGTATCTAAATAAGAACAATTGGCAGGTAGCACGTTCATTGTAAGACTAGTAAGACTGCTGCTTCCCTCAGGTGTTTTTACTTGTTTTTTTTGTTGTTGTTCATTTGTTTTGTTTTTTTGCCATTTTGTTTGGTTTGTAGTTTGTTGTTCTTAGTCTATCTTTTTTTTAACCTACATGCAGAAAAAATATGCTGAAAACAGTCAATTTTTTAACCAAAGCTCACAAAAGGCTACATCAGTGACAATGTCAAAGTTAAGGGCATAATTATAAACACATACACACAGAGAAACAACATTTAAAGTCCTTTCTACAGACTGTCTGGCAGTATGGTTAGCTGGTTTTTGGGCCCATCCTCTGAGGCTGTATCAATACTCATTCTTACACAACTACTGAGTCATAATGATATTTAAATCACAAATTAAACATTCAGCATTTCTAAAACATATGCACTGTACATTTCATGACACTGCAGAGCCATAAAGTGATTTTACATGAGCAAGGAAAAAACAAATTATTTACATCATTGAACAAAACAAATACAAAAGAAATAGGAGTATGAGCAAAATTAATTCTTTGCAATGATGTACTGGGATGTACAAGGTCACATTGTACAAAATTAATAATTAATATGAGCAAAATTACATTTCAAAGTTAATGATTTGTGATATTTTGATCCTATATATACCCAACATATATCCAGTGTTGCGATCATAAGAGACTAGATGATGTTTGAGCTTGCTAATGTTTAAGGTTATGCTGGTCAAAGAAAGACTATGTTAGGATAGATGGTTATGATGATTATCAAAATCTTATTGTTTCTAACGTATGAAAACATCACCATGCAGGCTACTCACACCAACAAAACAGAATGGTAAATGACCAAAATTTAAGGTATGTTGCACTTTCTGTAAACATTCTCTCATTTTGTATATTGTAGAAAAACAAGAAGTTCAGTTCTGTAGAAATAATGACAAATGACAATAAGACACTTTTTACATCTTCATTCGCACCACTTCCTCTCTCTTTTGCTCCATCACTGTATCCTATTAAACTCAGCAGGGCTTCCATCCATCCATCCATTTTCTTCCGCTTATCCGGGGCCGGGTCGCGGGGGCAGCAGTCTAAGCAAAGATGCCCAGACCTCCCTCTCTCCAGACACTTCCTCTAGCTCCTCCGGGGGAATGCCAAGGCGTTCCCAGGCCAGCCGATCCTGGATACAGGCGGGCGCAATGAGCCTTTT